CCATGGACTAGGGAGGTGCCTGGGTCCCCAGAGAAAAGAACCTTTCACCACCATGGCAGGAAGACACTGGAACGATCCCCCAGCCCTTCCCAAAGGGATCACCAGCTATGTATTGGGTGAGTGAACATTGGAAAGTGGGCAACCCAGACAGTTGGAGGCTGGGGAAATTCTGCCCAATTTGACAATGAATTGGGTGACTCAGTGAACTGCATAGGTGTATGATTAAGGAAGGCCTCCTGTGCTGAAATTTCAGAGCAGAGGATGTCACTGGGTCCAAGGTATAGTGGGGCCAGTCCTGACGATTTCAGTGGTCTTGTGCAGGGAGAGACTTGCATCAATATACCCCAGAATGAGGTGTTGAGCCTAGTGAGATGTCTTCTGAGGAATCTTTCAGAAATAAGACAAAATAGCATTACAGCATAAACTCAACTGGGCAAAGAGAAAATGCATAGAAAAAGAACTGGAAGAATACTCACAAATTGTGAATGTTCTCGCCTCCTGGTAATGCCTCACAAGCACCCTTTGACCTGATTCTTCATGCCCTTTCTGTCCTTTCCATAGTCGCCACAGTAAGCATGCAGATACTCAAGAGTCAGTGGAATAGATCTTCTGCACATGGCCCATTAGGCTAGCCCTTAGTGCCCTGTAACCATGGTCCTGGGCTGGAAACACGTGTTCCATTTCCCCCATACCCGAATCTCCTAAACACAACACCTGGAATGCACAGTATGATGTTTGTAAGCCCACCCAGGAGTTAGGGAGGGCCCGGAGCCTGGGTCGTGGCTTATTTGCTTAGAGACTGAGAACACTAAAGAACATGTAGAGGAAGAGACCAGAAATGATGGACACACATAAATAAGTGGCTCCTAGCCCCACCCCCAATTAAAGTTAATGTAACCATTTGTAATATGAATGTGGATGAATGGGTGCCAGAAGTTCACAGAAACTCCTAAGGTGCCAACTCTGCTGTGCCACGTTCTGTGAGCAGGCCCCACACCTAACCAGGGAGTCCAAGTCACCTGTCCGTATCTGCAGGATCCCAGTAGTGCAGCTTCTTTCCACAACCTTGAAGTGCCAGGAAGACAAAACTAGAATTAAGTACTGCTCGCAGGATGGACCACTTGATCTGGACTTTGCTAAGAGGGACACTGCCAACCAGAGCTGCCCAGGGGACAGAGAGGAAGGGGTGCAGGGAGCATGCATATTGGAAACAGGTCTGAGGCTCAGGAGTGCAAATGGGAGAGTCGGGGAAGAAGTAAGAAGGCTTGCTGTCCTCCCACACAGCCAAGGCTGCCCTGGTCTTCTACTGCTGCAGTCCAGGGCATGGAACTGAGGCCAAGCCCTGGCCAAGTGAATTAGAGATAAGGCGCTCTTTGTCACAGGCAGACTGCTGGACCCAAGGGCACTTCCTCTCAGGGGACATCTCCTCCCAGGTGGCAGGCAGCCTTCAGTGGGAGTGGAAGAAGGACAGTTCTTGACCTGTGGGGTGGCTTACAATTTGGAAAGTCTAGGTAAGTGGTAGGCAAACTCATTAGTCAACAGACCCAAATATCAACAGTACAATGATTGAAATTTCTCTTGAGAGCCAAATTTTTTAGAAGTCTACGGCCATACCACCCTGAACGCGCCCGATCTCGTCTGATCTCGGAAGCTAAGCAGGGTCGGGCCTGGTTAGTACTTGGATAGGAGAGCCAAATTTTTTAAACTTAAACTTCTTCAAAACAGATTCACCCAGGCCGTTGTATTTTGTGGAAGAGCCACACTCAGGGGTCAAAGAGCCACATGTGGCTTGAGAGCTGCACTTTGCCAACCACGGGTCTAGGTGAACAGTGCATCCAAAGCAGGCCTGCACGGAGAAGGAAATCAGTCCCTGAGAGGCACAAGGAGGGATCTGAAACAGAAACAACCATTGTGGGATTAGCATCCTAATCACAATATCTGCCCACAACTTGACACAAAAAAGACAATCAGCTCAGGAGAAGGACGGACCACAGGGAGTTCTTGGAGGAGGAAACAAGAGATGCTGAGGAGGGAAATCAGGAATTTGGGACAAGCAGTTCTGAGCAGGGTGGTTCAAAAAAACCTGTGGCAGGAGCAAAATGGAATGCCCTCAAGGCCTTGAAGCCAAATGATGCACACTGGGGTGAAGAGAGACAGCAAACTGCAAAGGCAAGTGTTTAGAGGGCCACGGGGGACAGAGAGTTCTCCAGGATGTCAGCAGGGGGACAAGAAAAGGCAGCCTGACTTTTAGCAAGTGCTCTGGGCTCTAAAGAGGTGGCTGTGTTCAGGAGCACAGCCCCCTCAAAGAGCTGGGACAGAAATGGCACGGACTTCCTGAAAGGAAGACTGGGTGAGTTATGGTATGGCACTGCAGGCTGGGGAAGAAATGGAGCTTGAGGAGGAGCCGCTCTTCTGCCCTGGGAGGCAGTGAGCACTGTACTAGTATGTGTGTGTGTGTGTGGGGGGGGTCCTCAGAGGTATGGCAGGTGGCTAGGAAGTAGCAGGAGGAGTCCCGAGAAGGCCTCACTATCCCCTGAGAACTGCCAGATCTCCAGGGTACCTGTGCAAGGCCAAGTAGTAGAAGGCAGGAGGGGGCCTGGTCTGCCAGGTGAGATGGATGTACCTGCCTTCACTGAGCTCTTACCTGCCAGGACTTTGTTCCTGAGAGGGGATGGGCAGCAGTTGGTAATGAGAATGTCACCTGGCAATGAGAAATCAGATTGCTCCAGGTTTCTGTGCCAAGCTTTTATTTGTACCGACAATCAGGATTGAGTTGCAACTGGGTCCCTAAGAGAGTGGCAGCCAAGACCATCCCACCCCCACCTGCAATGTGGCCAGGCCACTCTTCCTGAGCCCACCAACCTGGCATGGAATTGACCTTGCAACCACCACCCTTGCAGGTCCCCATCATTAGACCACCCTCCTCACCTTTACTGTTCTGCCCCAAAAAGGAAGATCATATACCCTATTCTCTGTAGTGCCATCATTGTCTCCCATCAGGAGCCATAGAGTATCTCTAGCTCAAGGACAAGTTCTGTTTCCTCAAATAAGAGGATTTGGGAGGAACAATACAAGCTGGCCAGTCGAGATAACCTCCTTCATGTCTTGAACCTCCCACACGAGGGTCTGGGTTCCTCAGTGACAGTAGCTGGGAACCATTTTGGGGATGAGGAGTTAAGGAGGGGAGGCCAGCATGGATGGAGCTGGACCTGGTGGTCATTAAAGCTCCTTGCAGCCCTGAAGCCTAAGTCTTATGAAGGTAACCTCTGTCCCTCACCTCATGGCCAGAATTCATGTCACCGCCATCTTCTGCAAGAAGAGAGTAGGTGCAGTTCACTGGAAAAGAAAGGCCTCTGTTGAGTCAACATTTATATGCAATTACTGTGGCCAGGGAACCCAGTTTTCAGAAACCAGTAAGACACAAGCCTTGCCTTCAAAGAACTCAGAGCCCCTGAACATCTCTCAACAGCAAGAATTACAACCCTGGGAGGTAAGAGCCCAGTGAAGGAAGGTATGTGGGAAGGTACAGGGCGCTACCAGAACTGGGACACAAGAGTACCTGATGCTTGGTTGTGGGGTGAAGAAGGGATGCTAAAGTTGCACCTGGAAGGACAGGAGTTTGCCAGGACAGGAGGAGCAGGTGCTCCAGGCCTCAGGAAGCACAGGCGCCAAAGACAGAGTCCTGATAGGAGGCGTGCAGATGCCAAGGATGCAGGGATTCCGCAGCGCTATGACCCAGAGGGCGATGAGAGAAAGCTGGGACCACTGGAAGGACCTTCTATGACCCCCAGGTGTTTGCCCTTAAACAATAAAGGACTCCACAGGGTTTTCTGTCTGGGGTTGATGAGAACAGATGTGCAGTGTCATGGCACCTTGGATGACCCACTGGAGAGGGGAAGATAGGGTTGTTCAGGCCAGCGGGGGGACTTAGGTAATAGCGCTGGCCCCAGACCATGAAGCCTGACCTCAGGGAGAAGCAGCGGGGACAAGAAAGTGTAGCACTTTTTCTGATTAGGCATTTTAGAGGCAGGGACACGGGCCTTGGTCAAAGCAAAACTGAGGAAGCGGGTGGGTCAGTGGATCAGAGGAATCAAGTGTGGTGGCACTGAGAGGGTTAAGCCTGTAACTAAGAGCTAGAAGAGAAGAAACAGCCAATAGGGAAGATGGCTTTGTTTGAGACATGTCAGCTCTGAGACACAGCAAGAAACACAGTGGGGATTTTTATTCTCACATGCTACTAAATAAATAAATAAATAAATAAATAAAGCTAATATGAAGATCTTAGTTCAAGGCATTACCAGTGGCTGGGATGGGCTGTATAGAGGCGTGGATGATCTTGCAGAAAGCAGAGCTGGCCTGGCCATTCAGACTTCAGACTTGTGCAGGACTCAGACTTGTCCTGTCTGGAGTCTCCATATCCCCCAGGGTCCATTCTCAGGGTCCCCTTAGGTCATTCAGGCCCTGAGCTGCCACTTTGGTGCATGCTTACTGGTGCAGGGCAGACTGGGGGCAGGGGTCATGGCAATCAAAGGGGCACTGTCTGGCCTTGGCCATTGAGTGGGAAGCCACCTGCCACATGGTTCCCAATGCCCAAATAGAACATCCTTGCCAGCTCTGCCCCACTCTCCTGGTGGCTTCCCCCTCTCCCCCTTAGAAGCTAATCCTCTTCAGCTCCCTGTAGCCAACTATGTGCAGTTGAGCCCTAAACCTCCACAGCAATCCACCCCCTCTGCCCTGTTCCAACCCAATCCACCTCCATCCTGCAGCTCCACCCCATGCTTTCTCACAGTTCTGCCCCAGCTACTCCTGTAGCTCTTTCCCACAGATCATCTCCCCCTTGTTCTGCCTCTGTCACAGTTCCTTCCCATCTACTCCCAGAGCTATTTCTCACTGATTTGCAGGCAGACACTGTCCTCCAACTCTCCCCCCTATCCTCCTCCGCCTTCACTGCCTCTAAGCTCCGCCTTTCCAGCTTCCCTCTACCCCTCCCCTCAGATCCTCCTCCACTCCTACAGATCCTCCCAGGTTTCTCACAATTCAGACCACAGCTCCGCTGCCTCCTCCCCCTCCCGCAGATCCTCCTCCACCAGCTTTTCCACAGCTCCCTCACCACCATCCCATTTATCATCCGCCACCAGCTTTTCCACAGCTCCACCAACCCCATTCCACAGCTCCTCCCCTGCTTTCTCACAATTCAGGTCCCTGTTACTCCCCCTGGCTTTCTCCAATGGTCGCACCCAGATACTCCTCCCCCAGCACTGCCTTCACCCCAAGCCCCGCCCTTCTTTTTGCCTAGCCCTGCCCACTGTCCACTGGTCAGGAGGTCCCAACCTGTCCTGGTCATCTTGTGAGCCTCTGTGTCCGGTGAGTCCAACAATGTCTCCTAGCAACCGTAGTCTGCATGTGTGTCTAAGTCTCTACCCGACTGCTTACCTGCGCGCCAGCTAAGTGTCTGCAGAATCCCGGCACGTGTGCTGCTACGTCATGGAGTGCTGCTGTGTCCTGGCCTGCTACTTAAGGATGTATGTGTCTATGTGCCTTTGTAAGCCAGCAAGAAAAAGGGTTTTTTGTCTCAGCCAGTGCAGGGTAGCTCACCCACGCCAGTGGGTGTCAACAGTCACCTGTTAACAGTCCTGGAGCAGCTGAGGAGAAGCCAGGATGCTGGCCTGCTGCTCTGTGGTGTCAGAGTCCCAGAATCCTCTCCTCATCAGGTCCTGGGAGGGCTCTTCTCCGCACTGTCTGTCTCCCTGGGCTGTGGGGAGGAGGAGGACTGTCCTGTGTGGTGGCCTCAGCTGGGTCAACCTAGAGCTTAGCCACCTCCGTGGCCAGTGGGACCAGAAGACCTGAGTCTCCAGAAGGGAGTGGGGATGCTCAGTTCAGCTGAGGCCTGCTGGGCCCTCCGAAAGATAGTGCTCCAGGGTTGTGGTTTGCTGTGGAGATGGAAGCACTCATTCCCCAGCTCAGGCCACATTTTTCTGTGTCTTCCTCTGGCTACTTTCACTTGCCCACCATCATCCGTGTGTGTGTGTGTGTGTGTGTGTGTGTGTGTGTGTGTATGGGCCTCTGCTCACAGGAATGACTGTAGTGATCCACACTCACAGGTCTGTCCTCCCTGCTTCGTGCTTGGCCCTTAGGCTGTCACCATCTCAGCCAGACCCAAGGCAGTGTGTTGCTTAGCTGGTTGCCCATGACAACCCTCCCAGTGGGCCTACCCAGGATTACTTTGAGGGGAATGAGAGTGTAGGATCCCCAAATCCTTCCCATTTGATGATGTGATGGGAGGGGGAGTTTTCCTGTAAAGGGGGCTCTGCTGGGTTACAATGAGCCACTTACATTACATAGTTTTGTGTGCAGCTGGCTGGGCCATCATGTGGTCCCTGAACAGGTAAGGCAGGAGAGAGTCACTGCTATGATTAGCAGAACCAAACCCTAAGTAAGATGCCACATCTGTTTCCCACCAGTTGAAACCTCCTTGGTCCTGGTGGTTTCCAATTCCTGCTGAGTAGAAGACTGTTTTGGTATGTTAACCAACATTGCTGTTTTGTCCCTAATGACCTTGACTCATTATTCCTCTTGTCCTCATGCAGGTGAAGAAGCAAAGGCAAGTGGAAGAGTGTGTCTTCCTCAGGCAACAAAGCAGGTACTCTGCATCGTGAGGCAGGAGGGCACTCAGCCCCCTTCGTGCCTCTACAGGGGCCTCAGCTCTCCCTAGGGATGCCACCCATGCAGATCAGATCTCCTTGTGATTTTGTGGCTTTGATGAGAAAAGGGGCCAAAACTCCATGGAGGAAATGAGGCATAAACACCCGTAGAACAAATACAAATGGCCAGGCCACAAGGGAACATAAATAATCCAAATCCAATGAATAGAGAGACCCTTTATCACCTGTCAACTGGGCAAACATTAAGCATATAGATGATGCTCACAGCCGATAAGCCTATGAGGAAATGGTACCCTGGCCTGTGTTGGCAAGGCATACAAGGTGAACTTCTGTGGAACGCCATTTGCTGAAGTGTATTTGCATCTCAGCTGTGAGTACATGTGACCCAGGCCTCCACCTAACAAGTCGATAGTTAATGAGTGTTTGTGGTAGTGTCCCTTATAGTAGCAGAAAACGCAAAGCAGTCTGTGACTCTTCAACAGTAGGGGAACATCAGTCAGTCTTGGGGACCACAGTGAGATACCATGCAGACAGCAAAATATAGGCTAGAAGACAATGTAGACATAAAAGAATGTATTTGATGAGCTGTGGATGGCGAAACCATCTTCTACCCTGTGGAGAGGTGTGGGAAAGAGCTATGCCTCTGTGGTCATTTGCTGGGGTGGTCACATGAAAGCACCAGAGCTCCAGTGGGTTAAACAACAGACATGTATTATCTCACTGTTGCAGAGGCTGGAGGTCAGAGATGGAAATGTGGGCCCAGTTTGCCTATACTGAGGTCTGAGAGAGAATCTGTGCATCCCTGTCCCCAGCTTCTGGTGGTTTTCAAGCAAGATTTGGCACTCCTTGCTTGTAGGTCTCAGCCTTCATCTTTACAAGGTATTCGTGTGTGCATGTCTATCTATAAATTCCCTCTTTACGTCATTGGAAGTGGGTCTCATTTTAACTTGATTACCTCTTTAAAGTCCTTTTCTTTATGGATAAGGTCCTGGGGTGAGCAAGAGGTGGGATCCAGAGATTAGGGATAGAAGACCCTGCCAGAAAGAAAGGGAGTGAATTCAGAGAAGCTGGGCACAGGGACTGTCAGGACACTGAATTGGAAAGGGAGTGAACAAGTGGCAGCTTTTGTCTCCCCGGCCTTGTCTTTGAGAGTGGGTATGTTTCATAAACATGAGGACGTAATTGCTGACGTCAGGTTTATGTCCTTTAAAGACAGGAGGGGAGAGACATGCAGAGTGGGGGTGCTCATGTGGAGTGCGGTACTGAGGCCAGGCCTTACAATGATTATCTGTAGCCACCAGTTCTGACTATCCTGTTAAGTGTCAGGTACTCACAGCTCTGTGGAGACTGAGCTCCGAGAGGTACTAGGATTGGGCTGAATCTTCAGGCTGGTTTCTGGTCCTGCCATTGCACAGCTCTGCCCTCCAACGAGGAGGACAAGGAAAGGAGGCAAGAACAGGGGTGAGGCAGTCAGGGCCCCAAGATTGTGGGCCATCTTTTCATCCCTAGGTGCCACCTTCTCAAATGTAGAATGGGGTGACAATAGCACTTATTCGAGGATTGAATTCTAGGATCCCTGGATTATGCCCATCCCAGGGCCTGATATGGGCATGGAGTGTGGGTACCAGTGCCAATTCTTCCTGCTCCTGTTATTCCTTTCTCTAGGCTGCAGTGGGGCCAGGAGTGCCTGCTGACAGCAGATGGCAGTGGTGCAGCCAGGGGATGGAGGAGGGTGGCTCCCAAAGGGGCCAAGGGACCAAGTTCCCAGCTGAGGTTGGATTATAAGAATTTACAATCAGGAGTCCTGGGAGAAGGACAAGGATTCTTAGGGACCTCTCTGGTGTTGGGATGAAAGGATGACGTTAGCTTACTGTGCTGGGGTGGGTGGGGGTGGGGTGAAGAGAAGAAGCAAAGCCCAGGAGGGTCTGCGCTAGACTAGAACCCATTCCCACGGTGTGAAGGCAAAGCACCATTTCTCCCTCCTCTGTGCTCCCCTGGCCTCAGTGACCTCCTTTGCGGAACTGACCACATCCTGTGCTGAGTGCCTCTCTTTACCTGTCTCCACCTTCTTCCTTAAGTCCCCCAACACGCATCTGATGGACGAGGTATCTGCATTGCCACCCCTTTACATTGGGCCTGGCCGCTGACTGCATGGGGAAAGGAAGAAGGAGCCAACACTCTCTGTTCTGCTACCACCCCTGTCAGTGGGGTTCCAGGGCCCCAGGGGACATTGGGGAGAGGTCAGCCCACAGACTATGAACATGGAGGGCTGATGCACGATGCTTATGGACAGTCACACTTGTGGGTTTCCCCAGGCCATGTGGGGCCCACGGATCTCTAGGGAGATGGAATTCTCCTGCCTCTCCTTCCTGCAGCCTTATGCAGGTTTTGTCTTAAAAGCGGTGAAGATTCTGCAGACTCCTTGGCAACCCTAGTGAGCAGCCAGGGGAACTGTACCATAGCCACCCAATTGCTCACAGGGACTGGGAAGACGCCCTCTGGTGGGAGCTGCTGCTGGAGAGGCTGTGGTGGAACCCCAGGCAGATTCAGGCCCTGCTCTGGGAAGGGAGAAGTATGGCTGAGGAGTGATCGCTGGCAAGGCATGACACCCTGAGCGCAGCTCACACCCCTCCAAGAGTACCCCCAGGACCTTGCTCAGGGGTTTGGGGCTTGTTTTCTTTTAAACCTGTGGTGGTGGGGCTGTGGCTTCTGTAAGCAGCACACCTTTAAAGGGGCAGCAAGGGGCCCAGGCTGGGGTTCCATGGGCCGAGTTCCTATGACCTGGGTGAACCCTTCTGTCCACACTGGGCTCAGTTCCAATTGGTGAGGGGCAGAGGCAGGTCCAAGTCTGCATGTGCTGTTGCCTGTGTGCTCACATGTGTTTATGCATCTACACACATGTGCTTCTCTCATGATGCACGTGTGTGTGTGTGTGTGTGTGTGAGAGAGAGAGAGAGAGAGAGAGAGAGAGAGAGAGAGAGAGAGAGAGAGAGAGAGACAGACCAGGGGAAGCTGCACAGCACACAGAGGATATAGTGTGGCCTCCAGGCTCAGGCTCTCTGCCTAACTTCACACACCTGCCCCACCCCCACTACCCCACCCCCACTGTCCATGACATCCTGTGACATCCTGGGCCCGTTCGGTCACCCCTCAGTGGTTGAGGTCCCACACCAGCTCCTTTCACCTGGTGAAGAGCTTGGGACCTGATTGAAGGTGGGTTCTCCACAGCAGTCAGGGCTCTTCTGACCTGTGTGTGCTGCCCATAGCAGTCAGGTTGGGACCTGCCCGTTAGTGGACCAGGCTCTGTCCTCTTCTTTTCCCTCTCCCCCTTGGCCTCACCGAGAATTCCCTAAACAGTATTTGACACATTGGAAGTGCTCAGTCAGAGGGCCCCAGCTCACTCCGTGTCCCTTTGGTGAAATCGTGGGCATAACATTGAAGAACCCTTTCCTCTCATAGGAAGCCTTTGGTTTATGGAAGAGAAAATATCTTAGTGCTTCTCTCATGGTGCACTGGGCTCCCTGACATTGGGGAAACTGCATGCCCCAAAAATTTGGCTCCTGAGGAGGTTGTAGAACTCGAACAGCAGGCTGTGCTGACCAACCTGAAGCAGAAGTACCCGATTGCACGTTCAAGCCCCAGGTGGTTACTGGAGCGCATACCCAAGAAAGGGGGGAAGGCTATCTTCCAGGTAGGCATCCCACAGCTCCTGATCCTCTAGGGGCAGGGGGATTCCACAGGAAGGTTACTGAGAATCCAGATGAATCATCACCCTCAAAGGCCCATAGACATAGAAGTCAGGTTCAACTGAATTGGCATCACCATGGAGAGCACTACCCACCATCTGTTGTTCACATACACACATTTCTGTGCTCAAATATAGGTGACTGTCCTTGTGAGATGCCTCTGTAGGCTCATTGCCTGTCTCAAGCACTCTGTCTGACATTAGGGAAAAGGGAAAGCTGCCAGGACATATCTTGGTACTATCACTCTTTTTGGTCCTGCTCATTACTGGGTTTTACAGAGAAAAATGTTTTAGCAGAACTGGTTATTGTTTGGGATTCCAGTCTCTTTGTTCTGGTCAAACTCACAGAACACTTCAGGAGCACCCAGGGACCCTGTGGGAGGTCTGGGAGTGGGCACTGAATGGTTGCCGGAGGGTGACCAGCCAAGGCATGGCTTCATTCATCAGACTTTGAAGGAAAGCACCTGTCTCTCCTGGCAAGTGACTGGTCTGCTGTAAGTGTCCCTTGGCTCATGAGGGCTTGTGTTACACATGTCACATAGCTACCTCGGGATCCAAGGACAGATCTGAAATACAGCTCTGATGGAAAAGTGATGGGTAGAGTTTTTGTTTTCCTGTGTGGGCAATCTTTAATTTATTTGGATCCCTTCTAGCAGGGTTACTAATGGTTGTTAGTTGTGAGGATGATGGGCTTTCTCCCAGGCATTGACTGGAATGGCCCATCTTTTAAACCAGACTGGCTCTGTTGTACACCACTTAGCAGATGGGTTGGCCTGAATTCTAGGTGGACCTCTCTGGAAGGCCCGTGGAACTTGGGCTAGACACACTCAGATGCCGATCAGAAACTTCCTGGCATCATAGGGGGACCTGGGAGTAAAGACCCTCCTGTTTCAGGATGCATGACTAATGTAAAGTGATTCCCCCAAGGTCAGGAGTCAGGCAGTTCTGTCTCCTGTTCAATAGGCAAGGTTCAAGGGACCAGGTCTTCCTGGGTTTGCCTCAGGACCCCCCAGCCAGATCCTTGGTTGAGTGTGTGAAATGAAAGAGGACAACAGGGAAAAAGCCTATCGGGCCAGGATTTCTAGCGTCCTCAGGCTCATCTGATTAGGTG